AAAAGCAAAAAAAAAAAAAAAAAAGTCTACTGAAAGATTCTTTAAAAAGGATAATCTCTTGGTCAATATCTAAAATGTCAAATCACCAAATGTAGTCAAAATTTGAATAAAATTATGTCTAAGGGCCCAGGAGATACAAAGGGACTAGAGAGGTTTTTTCACTTTTACACTAATTGTTCAAATTCATGAAGATGTTAATATTTCTATATTACAAATTCTGCACCTACACACACACACAAAAATATATGACCAAACTCACTGCTCTCACTTAAAAGTAACTGACATAAAAATTTTAGGCCAGTTAGGAGATATGAGACATTATTTAATTCACCTACCTCATTTTACAGACAAGAAAAGTTATGTGACTAAACCATGCATTCTCAAAGGAAGCGAAATTTGGAATTTGGAAGTGGTGAAAAAAATCCTTTTAAAAGGTAAAATGCATATATATATAGTACACAAACAGATACGTAACATATTTGTAATGTTAATATTTCACCGGGGACTTATTAAGAAAAAAATATCTAAAAAGGCTACCCCAAGGCAGTGATAATGGAAAAAGACTGAGAAACACTTGGTCAAATTTATGAGGGTCCAAATATTGTGATTAAGTATGGCCCTCATTCCAGTCTCCTACAGTCATCATAAACTTTCTATCCCTTGAAATTATATCACAATTCTACACATCAAACATTTGTTCTCATGGACAAAATACTATCTGGATGTGGTTATAATTACTTAGGATTTGAAACTGATGACCAAAATATTACTCACTGTTTTATATTAACAGATGCTATTATTCTAGAAGTATGGTATGGAAATAAAAACTCAGCATTAAGCCTGTAGATTCGGTTTATTCTTTTATTTTTTTCAGTTTTTTTCCTTTTTTTTTTTTGTTTTTTTTGAGAGAGAGAGAGAGAGAGGAGTGGGGGAGGGGGCAGAGGGACAGAGAGAGAGAAAATCTTAAGCAGGCTCCATGCTCTGCGCAGAGCCCAACCTGGAGCTTGATCCCATGACCCTGGGATCGTGACCCGAGCTGAAATCAAGATTTGGACACTCTACCGACTCAGCTACCCAGGCACCATGATTCTGTTTATTCTCGAATGGGCTGGGCTCACAGGGCTCCAGGTTGGGGGCAGGGCCGGGTGACATGAGGTATGAGGGGCAGCTATGAAGGTGTCACTTGTGATCTGAGCAAAAGAGAATGACCAGACTAAACGTTTATTCTTCCTCTTAAGCTGCTTTAGTCTTCTGTTACATAAAAATGAGTACATTTTCATGGGGACAGTGAGAATAGGGTCAAACAAATTCTTAGACATAAGAATCAATAGAACCAAACAGAGAGAATAGAATCACATGGTGTAATCTTACCCAAAATGTGCGTGGTAACGTTTCACTAAATTTTCCACTGAAGACATAATATTAATTACAGAATCATAACATTCCCCAAATGGAAAGGATTCTAGAGATCAGACTAACTTCTTGGTGTATGGATGAGAGAACTGGGACCTAGCAATAACAATGTTAAAATTGGGGCCCAGATTTTCCTTTTCAAATTTGATCGCACAGAAGTATACTAGGGATGCGGTAATCAGCTAAGAGGTCATGGGCATTCAAAAGTAGGAAATTTTAGGGGCGCCTGGGTGGCTCAGTCGGTTAAGCATCCGACTTCAGCTCAGGTCACAATCTCGCACTCCGTGAGTTCGAGCCCCGCGTCGGGCTCTGGGCTGATGGCTCAGAGCCTGGAGCCTGTTTCCGATTCTGTGTCTCCCTCTCTCTCTGCCCCTCCCCCGTTCATGCTCTGTCTCTCTCTGTCTCAAAAATAAAAAAAAAAAACAAAAACAAAAAACAAACAAACAAAAAAAAAGTCAAAAGTAGGAAATTTTAGAGTTTAAGAAGCTGTGAGTTTTTTACCTTCAAAAATAATAGGAACAATTATTCGGGGTTTTCAAATTTTGAATGTGAGAATTACAACATTAGTTCATAATATATTGGGTTTTATTTTTTGGCCATATACCTCAAGATAGGAAAGTACTTCTGATGATGTTTTTGGTGCTGTAAGAATTCCTGAATTCACACGTGCCAGAAAGAGAGCTACAAAAATATATGACAGCCTTGATCAAGAAGACAATTCCCTGTTTCCCAAGCATAAGTGCAATATTTGTAATTATTGAATAAAGACAGATATTTAAAATAAGCTGAAATTTAGATTAACGAGACAAGGGTTGTTAACACCTATAGCCATAGAGGGGATGCTAAGTATCTAAATAAATAACACTAAAACAGAATTTTTTTTTTTTTTTTGGTGCACCAAAGCTCACTGATGTTAATCTGAAATTTCTAAATACTAAAAGAAAATCTATGAGCTTTTTAGGGTGTCTGTGAAAAGTATTAAAACATTTTTCATACTGATGTGTTTTTAAGCTGGATCTAAGCAAAACTGAATCTACAACTTCTTTTGCTGTCAACCAAATACTGGCCAAAAAATGGAATAAAGTAG